TATATATATATATATATATACATACATATATACACGTGCATTACACATCCATATTCAGTATTTATTTATACATACGCACACACCACCTTTGCCATCATTTCTAAAAATATGAACCCAAAATAGATCAGCTCAATATTGATTGTCATTGAAACATGCTTCAAATATGTTCTTTCGTTTTAAATTATAGGATTGAAAAAGTAAATCCATGCTCATCATGGACCTTAGAACTAAAATGGAAAATATTTTGATGTAACTCGAGTTGAATCATCGTAAATCCTTTTTTTTTTTATTTTAAAGTCACATGTAGGTGAAGTGAATAAACACTCGGGGGCAGTAGTACTGCACGGCCTCTCTTGCCTAAACCAGACGAAGTCCATGATTTTGACAATGCAAAATAAATGAACCAGATGTCTCCCTCTTCGGATATCCCGAAGCAAAACTAATTTCCACGTATTTGTAACTTCATGATGTATGTCTACCATTAGATTACTGCCGTATTTAACTTCAATCTAGATATCTCCAAATGGAATGAAAATATCTATAATAACAGACACCATTGCACCTGCTTACCTGAATGTCAGGGACAAATGACGCTGCAGATATCTGAAATGGCCATTGTGGCCAAATGTATTTGACTTCACGGCAGCCCATCCAGGTGGTTGCTTCACCCAAGTAATTGTAAGTCAGTTGCGCTTCAGGGCAAAAAGAGAACCAGCCATTGATTTAAATCTGCAATGCACTTTGAATTTCAATCACTGTATGGAAACTGCTCTGTAAATAAAAATCTTGCCTGTTGTGTAAACATTTCTTTGGAGGGGATAAAATCGACTCACACAGTTCTTCAAATAAGAGGCAAAGCAAGGTTGCTTCAAGCTATTTACTTGCCACATCCACTTGGGTTTGCTTTAAAACTGGCACAAATGGCAAAATACAATGAAGCATTGCGTTTTTAAACACCAACACGTTCAAGCAAACAACTGCTAGCTTAATGCAAACATATAAGGTGAAAAGCCATAGACAAGCTCATGGAAATTAGCATCGAAGTTACAGTAATTATCAACCGATGCCACTCACCCCGAGCACCGACACATATCAAACAGCATGCAACAATACTCACAGGCATATCATTTTTCTGCTCTGCGGGAACGACGACCGTGACTGGAGCTCAGTTGGGGACCTTCTTTGCCTCTTCCTCTTGCTGTTAATTGCGATACAGTGCTGCCTGGAAAGTTGTGGCACGGTGTGGTACTACACCGAAGATGTACAACGCTACATTTGGACTTGGGGGGGGGGCGGGTTAAAAAAAATAATAAATCAAAGCCTTTCACAGTCCGCCATTCTCCTCCAGTTTCCGGAAGAGCGCCAGGCTGCGAAGGCACGACTGCTTCTCGCCGTTCTTCCAAAGGATAAGCTGGTGGTCGGCCGAGCACGTCAGCAGGCCGTTCTCCGGCAAGGCCACGAACATCTGAGTGACCACGTCCAAAAAAAGAAAAGAACCAAAAAGACCCCAGTAACAATTGTGTAATGGAAGTAGACGTGAATGAAGCGAATGATGAAGCAACAACTATTTGATTGTAAATTGTAAACGTGTGTTGGGCCGCCAAGACAGACAGACCTGGACTGCGCCCGAGTGTCCGATGAGGTCGCCCGTCAACTCCAGCGTTTTGTTGGGCGCCGCGTCCGACGTCTGTTTGGACGTGGGACACGCTTGCCTACTGGAGCGCCCCAAGGTCCACATCCCAAAGAAGCCTGAGTAATAGATTACATCTCAGTAAAGTACTGAAAGTCCGAGTAGAACGATGTGGATGATAAACATATATCAGAAATTTTAGTGGGAATTTTTCGAGGGGAAAAAAAAATGTCAAAAAGGTAAATTAGAGGGGGAAAAAAAGTTTGACAACAAAGGGTTTAATTGGATAAAATTAACCCTTTCATGCACCAATCATGATCGCTGTCCCTGAAAGGGTTAAAATGGTAAGAAAGTAAAAATACATGACACCAAAAAAAAAAGGGATCATTTTAAAGAATAAAGTAAACAATTTATGAGAAAAAAAAGTTATATTGGAAGAATAAAGGATAAGTCAATTTTAGGAGAGGGTGGTGGGGGGAAAGGTGGACTATTGCAAGAAGAGTCATCACTTCAAAAGCAAAAGTAAGACATCCGAAAAGTTTCAAATTGGAAAATTCGAAATGTATGGGAAAGATGTGGAATATGAAAAGAAAGGAGCGATTTCAAAAGAAAGAAGTCATACATTGATGAAGGAACAAAAGGAAAATTACTTTAGGAGAGGGGGGAAAAAAAGCAGATTGCAACAAGAGTGAAGTTTCACTTTCCAAGAATAAAATGAGAAATTTATGAGCGAAAAGCAATGTAATTAACATAAAGGAGGAAAAAGTCGATTATGTGATTTTGTTTGTCCCCGCCCCCCCTCCCCCCCGAGAAACACTCATAATTTGACACCCCAATGACGCATTTGGACACCCCCCAAAATTGTGATTTTTTTTTTTTTTTTTTTGCCAATATGAGCGCGACAGTGTTGCGAGTGACCTGGAGAGGCGGGTTCTCCGGCTAAAGGAAGCTCTCCTATCTCCCACATCCTCACGCTGCCGTCCTCCGAGCACGACATCAGCTCGCTGAAATCAAAAAGGACACCAAAGTCACAAAACAAAAACAAAAACAAACAAAGCACATTTTGCGTAAGTGACTTTGGGGCCAAGCCGACCTGTCGGAAAGCAGCGCGATGTGCAGCACGTCCGAGTCGTGGGCGCACTTCCTGTACGCCACCGCCGCCTTGGTCGCCACGCTGAACACGTACACGCCGCTGCCTACTGCCGCCGCCACCAGCTGAGAACAAACATCGAAAAAGCAAATCCAACAAAAGAAGAAAGTGCGTTTCGACAAGTAGAAAAAAAATCGACGGCGTGACTGACGTTTCCGTTGGAGGCCAGGTGCTGAATGGACATCTCGCTGGTTTTGGGTCCGCCCGTTTGGATGTTGGACTGCGCGGCGTGGGTCTGAGGCTCCTCCCACAGGATGTGCTGATAAGCTAGCACGTTGTAGTCCAACGCATCCCACACGATCAGCTCGCCTGCGTGAGAGCCGCTGGCGAACATGGCGTCTGTGGAAAAACACAGTCAGGGGAAGGCGGGGGGGTGGAGTGTGAAGGAAGGAGCGAGGCGGCCATTTTGCCACTGACCGTTGACGTTGACCAGGGCGCGGATTTGGTCCTGATGGTCGGCCAGGCAGCAGATCTCCACGATGGAGAGGGCATTGCCGCTCGCCGTCAGCTTGTAGATGACTGAGAGGATCAAAGGCGGCGGTTATATTTTAACATCGTTTTTTTGTTTGTTTTTTTAACCCCCGAGACAACTTTTTCCTCGTAAAAATGTCCGAAAAAACTGTCAAAATGTTGACTTTTTTTCCTCAGAAGACTGTTGACTTTTCCCTCATTACGTTGCGACTTCTTGTGTAACATTTCTTGTCAAAAATCTTGTTGCGTCTTGGAAAATGTTGACTTTATTTCATCAACCAAATGTTTTTCTGGTGGAAATTCTGACTTTTTTTTTTGTTTTTGTAAAATGTCAAATTTGGTTCTCTCAAAAATATTTCCTGTGTCTTTGTAAATGTTTAACTTTTTTTTTTTTTACCATAAAAAACATTACCGGTACATTTATTTATTTCTTTTTATCATGTACTGTATATATTTTTTAAATTTGCAACTTTTGGGCCTTTTTCCTCATGGCTTTGGCTCTTTAACTCGAAAAATGTCCAGCATTTTTTTTTCTTGTAAAATGAAAACTTCTTACGGTGAAATTGAAATTTTTTCTCTTAAAACGACACTTATTTATTTTTTGTTGCAGTTTTTTTGACGGCTCATAAAATCTTGATATTTTCCCATTATAAAAATACACGATTATTTTTCACAATATTTCTTTTTCCTCAGTCGAGCATTTTTTTTTTTCACATATAATCCCGTGAATGTCTCTTGGAAAATGCGCCTCAAATTTTGGCTTGCGACACAGAGCACAAATTCAAACACAGTTTGTGGGAATATTTACCGACAGTCTTATCCACGGCGGCGGCCACGCAGTTCTTGGGCAGCTTGATCAGCGAGCTGATTCCTGTCAAAAGGCAGCAAAGACCCCGAAAGTGAACATGGGATGCAAACAGGAAAGGCCCGAAATGCCGTTTGGATGCTCGCCTGTGTCGCTGTGGCGCTCTTTCAGACACTCCAGACGGAAATCTTTGCTCCATACGCACAATTCCTGACCACCCGAGATCCACGCGCTCAGCCACTCCAGCACCAGGATGCACTGACACACACACACAGAAACACACAATATTTCATCACCACATGCCAAAATCAAACCATCCAAATATTTTTTTATAAGTATTAAATGTCAACGTTTTCGTAAAATTACTTTTTTTTTTGTTGTTTTCACGCTCATAAAATTCTCCATTATGTCTTATAATAGTTCAACCTATTTCTCTTAGAAATGTAGACTTTTCTTCCCCAATTCGCCCAACTTTTTTTCTTTGTAAAATATCGAGCTTTTTTTCCCGGTAAAATTCCTTTTTTTTCTGAAATCTGTTTTCTGTAACAATTTCACTGCATTAGAATATCTCAATTTATAAAATAATATTCTCAAAAGTACAACTTTTTTCAGCAATTTTTTGGAGATTTTTTTTTTTTTTTTTTTAAATCATGAAATATTGACTTTGATTCTCATAAATGACAGAAATGATTTAAGACGCTCGTGCCACCTTGACAGATGACTGAAGGTCCAGAACAGTCTGCAGTCGGTTGCCGGTGTCAGGGTCCCACAACTGATAAGGGTTCCACAGTTAAGAACACTTAACAAAATCTTTGGCACCCCCCCAGCGAGGATGACGAGGATACGCTGAGGCTACGGTCCGAGGAGGCGGTGATGAGGCGGACATCGCCGCAACGCAAGACGGCCATGGCGGTGATCTGCTGGGAGTGACCCCGAAGCTCCTGCACACGTTCACCTGTCTGAAAATGGACCACTGTGTTACTTTGCTATTTGACGTCATCGCGGTGCCAAGTAACTATGTTGAAGTATGGGGAGGAGCTTCATTTAGTCAGGCCATAGTTTTGCGCAATAGAAAAAAAAAGTGCTTTGCTGCTATCTTCTGGCATGTACTTGCAATTAAAAACCTTTTTGGGTGGGGTATGAATGATTGGTGGATTTTGACTATTCCAAGCAGGGCTCCGTCCCCATCCCCTTTCACTTTACATTCAATGTCTTACCTCCACGTTCCAGACCAGCACCAGGCCATCGTCACCGGCTGAAGCGCATCTGGCAAAACACAAAAGAAATCCAAAAAGTTCGCTGGGGCAATATTATTGTCGTCGGGTCATTTTCATCCAAGGGGTCCTAAAAACCAGTGTGACCCCCATTTTACACTTTGACACACGCCAAACAGCCCCCCTTCCCTGGCCACAACACTTCCAACAAACATGATAGGACAGGAAGATGGAATGAAAAGAGATCACGACAACACATAAGCGCTATCTCTGGAATTTTGCAGGATGATTACTGACAAGAGGGCAAGAGTGAATAAAAACCCCACAATTTTCCCATTCCTCAATCACAAACATTAGCAAAAACATACAACCACACACGCACACGCAACCACACTTGCAAAACCCTTGGTTGATTACTATATGACCACTCATGCAGACAGACAGACACACACAGACAGACAGACAGACAGACATATATACACACACACACACACACACACACACACACACACACACACACACACACACACACACACACACACACACACACACACACACACACACTTGTGCTTGTGTGTGCACAAGGACAATGATGCTGCTATTGCTGCTGATGGTGTTCTTGTCACGCTCTACTACATCTCTGCAGTGAGCCTCTCCTGTCAATCAGAGTAGGGGATGGAGTGGGCCAGAGGTTGATGGTGTGCATTTGTGCGTGCGTGCGTGAGTGTGTGTGTGTGTGGGGGGGGGGGGGGTTACTTCTAGCTTACCTGAAGTCATCAATCTGCACCAGAAATCGAACAATGTCAAAATGTCCTTTCAGTACCTGCAGCTCAGTGAAGCAGTTTTTGGGCTGTTCCTCACCGATGCACAACACTCCGCTTTTCTGCAGATGTAAGGATTTTTTTTTTCAATTCAAGAAAATAGAAAACTGCAGATACTTCACTTTAAGCTTCCCCCACTTTGACACTCCAATTTTTTTCTTTTGTATTTTTACTGAAAAAATATCTCAGAATATTGTCTAAACGAGTAAGAAACGTGTGTGTGTGTGTGTGTGTGTGTGTGTGTGTGTGTGTGTGTGTGTGTGTGTGTGTACTATAGGTTATTTATATTTGTAAACACAACTATTAATATTCAATATTATTTCGATCGTATAATGTTCATGTATTCAAAATAATTTGGAAAATCACAACTATGCGATGTGTGACGTTCACGTAACATCTCACCTCCACGGAGCTTTGAGTTTCACGACCACCAAAAAACCACCGAAGCATGACTGCCGCGTTTTTAGCGAATGTTGTTCGCTGGGGAAACAAAAAAAATACAGGTATTATATGCTCATATTTGTGGGATAAATCCAACCATGGTACTGTAGCTTTGCATAAACGTTTAGCTCAAGCAAAACATCACATGCTAGCTCAATGTGTTGCGTTCTGGGCTTTTTGGCTTACCAATCATCGGTGTAACATGTCCGCTGTGTATATGACTCGCTTATTGAGAGGTTGGCATCATAAATTCCATCCAGTTAGATAATTTGGTTTGTTAGTATGACGGGAAGGAAGCTTTTAAAAGGAGAACTTAAAATCGACGACAAACATTCATATGATATGACAACGGAAGCCTGTGGTGGACAATATTTGACGGTTCCTCCGGTACACGTATATTGAGGGGATTCTTTTTAATATATTCACACAAGAGAAGACTGTAAGTCCTTCTTTCTTTCATTTATAAAAAAAGCGGTTGAAAGTTTATTATTCAGCGTGAGATAATGTATGTCAAAAATCCTATTTTAAGGTAACCCAGAGGGACTTTCATCCTGCTAGTATGCAGTAGATGGCAGTATGTCCCAATCTTATAAGTCTAAAAGACTGCTGAAATACAAAATTATACCTTATGCAGATAATTTCACCAAGACGTCGCATTTCTTCCTAACTTCCGAGTGACAAAAAAATCCAAAGGCTGAGCTAAAGGGAAAACCGAATGCTTTTCGCCTTCTTCTCTAAATTTGTGAAATGCCAACTGAAAAATAATGTTACTTGGGAAAAGCTAGACAAATTATGTTGTGCAATTAGACTATTACTTGTAAAATCGATTTTTTTTTCCAATTACATCGGAATTTTACTCTCTTGAAAAAATAAACTTCAAACACACACACACACACACACACACACGCTGACACACTGGGTGTGTCTGTAGTGCGGCCGACCGGCTATGCGGATTGAGATGACACAAGAGCCTGGGCCCTGTGACCTTCATGGCGGCTCAGATGCTGATTCCTGATTTAGTGTCGATCCGCCGCGCTTGTCAGGGCTTGCGAGGTGCCTTCCACGCGCTAATAGAAAAGCTCAAGGGCGGCGGAAAAAGAAAAAAAAGGGGACATGGAGGAGGAGAAGGTGGATCTGCAATGGAAAGAAAGTGTTTTAAAATGAGCGAAAGCATCATGAGGTAGGAGGGAAGGAAGCTGATAAAGAGGCCGTGAAAGTAGGCAGGGCCACATGCTACCAGCTAGCTAACGTGCACTGCCAGACAAGGCAAGATGATGTCACTGGCTGCCATCTTACGTTGCCAATCGTTCAACGGAAAAATAATTTTCTCATAATTTTAACGATATACAGGTACCATAGTAGCAGATGAAATGCACATGATTGAGTTATTTTATTTGTCTTTTTTTTTTCGTCAGAACACGTCTCGAGTGTGCAATTGAAAAAAAAAAGGAAAAGATCTAGATCTACAAAATTTGAGGACCCATTTTGAATATCTATGTTATTTATCTATATACATACGATCTATTATTTTCGGATTGTAAATTATGGACATTCATAAAATATTTGAAAATATTTTTAATGCATTAAACGCAAACAGCATGTGCATTATTTGCATGTAAAAAATTAACAAATTAAAATATGTACTAGCACTAGTAAATACAAATATAAAAGAAAACAGAATAAAATAATCACTCGTGACATGTAAGTTATAATTCTGTCCAATCATGGCTCTGTTAGGCCATTGAACTTATTTCCATTTTTATTGAAATTATTTAGACATGGATCTGATAGAAAAATGTCCATGAGACAAACAAAACCAAAAAGAAAATGTCTGCGACATTCTGAAAAGTCGTTATCATCATCATCATCATCATCATCATCATCATCATCATCATTAAACCAGCAAACCAAGTGATAACAGAAACAACCTTTGCACATTTTACAATTAATTCATTTGGGCAATTCAAGTGTGACGAAAGCTAAGTGTCCAGTAGGTTAGTCTTTTCTTTGTTTGTTTTCATGCTGTTAAATGTCTACTTTGAAGTCAATAAGTTAAAAATGACATAAAAATAATAAATAAGCGACATGACAAAATGATTGCTCTGTGAAAATCAAAGCTCGAAAAAACAAATACAGACAATCTTGAATGTGAATTCTGATGAGCTGAAACTGAACTGAGACAATGTGCAATACATTGAACTGTTGTTGAATCGCTCCAGAAATGTGGAGGGAGGAAGCAAATATGTAAAATAGCTTTTCATTTTGGAATTCTTTTACTGTGAACATGTGGGAATGTGATAAATAGTGTCCAAGATCCCCTGAATGAGCTTTCAATTTGGAATGGTTTGAATTGAAAGGAGATTTATCTCAAATCTAAACGTCATTTTGGAATATTAGCAGTTCAAGAACTTAAAAAAAAAAAAAAAAGTTCTCATTCACTTGAATCATTTTTTTAAAGGGGAAGTCAAGTAAAAAAAAATCTTGACAATAATATATTCTAAAAGACCTCATTAGTCTTCACATGACAATCATTCATGGCATTAAAATGGGTGTATTTCGCTGCTTAATTCATCTTCCACAAACACAATATTAATCAGAATGCCTTGTTTAGACCAGTGGGGGCACGTAGAACACTGTAGTATAAACAACATTTTTGACTTAACTTCCCCTTTAAGGAGAAAAGTGGAAGTGTGGCAAAAGTGGGAATTTTACAGCATGGAAAACAGTTCCGTGCCTTTCCTGAAGTTTGTGACAATCTGAAAGTTTGACGTGGCGGCAAAATGTGGAAGGGGTAGAAGTGCAAACTGAGCGGAGAAACAATATATCACATTTTTGGGGGGTGCAAAACATGAGTGAATCCTCTTCAGCATTGATGGGAGAGTAGGCAAAACAGAAAAGCCAAAAGGCGGTATTAGGTGAAGCTCATGGACACTGTGTGCTCCAGAGCCTTCCTCCGGAGCGAGGCGATGCTCGTGCCCCTCCACATGTCACTGTCCGGTGGAGATGAGCACAGCTGCGGCGAGCCACTCATGTTGGTGGGGGGCACCATGCCGGGGAAGGGGGGCTGGTACAGGTGGGACTGCAGCCCGCCACCGCCGCCGCCACCGCCGGCCGACATGTTGGACAGCCCCATGGAGGTGGACGGCGGAGGCTGCTGGAGGCCGCACTGGGAGTGGGCCAGGGATTGAGCCATGGGCGGCTGGCGGCCTCCCAGGGCGGGAGGCAGCTGCAACTGGGACATGTTGGCGGGGGCCCAGCGCCCGTCATTGGCGTGGAAGGAGCACAGGCCGTCGCCCATGGCCGCCGCCGCCGCTGCTGCCGCTGCCGCCGCCGCTGAGGTGAACTGCTGCAAGCCGTGGTGCGTGGGCAGCAGTGTGCCCGGTGCCCGGAAGACGTTGGTGCTCTTCTTGCGCTTCTTCCATTTGGCACGGCGGTTCTGGAACCACACCTGCACGCGTACCAACACACCACTATATGAGAGAGTTTCACTCGTGAATATAAAGGAGAAAAAATCAATAGTGTGCAGAAGAGTGAGCGTTTCAGTGAAAAAAAAATCTGCTGTCCGTATGAGCATTTCAATCATATATATGAGAGAATATCAATAGTGCCGGAGGATTTCATTGGTATATATGATAGCGTTTCATTCATGTACAGTGCCGTAAAAAGTATTTTCCCCCTTCCTGATTTCTGTGTTCTTTGCATATTTATCACACACAAAGATTTCAGTTCATCAAACCAATTATAATATCGACAGAGAAAACTCAAGGAAATATAAAGTGCAGTTTCTAAATGCCAATTTTATTTATTTAGACAATATATATATATATATCAAAACCTACCTGTCCCTATGTGAAAAAGTAGTTAGATGGTGGTATGATATATAAATAACTTTTTAAAAAGCTAATTTTCAATAAACTTTGTGCGGTATACATAGTATAATTGGACATAATACTTTGTAGAAGTGTACGCAGAGCCTCTAAATGAATACAAAACGTAAGTAATCCAACACAGGAATGTTTTAAAAGTGACAACAAACATTTCAATTTCAATCCCACAAAACACCTCAAATAATAGACAAGCTCCTCCTTAGCACAAATTATTTTAGTGATGTTTATGAGCTTTAGTATGTGATTAAAAAAAAAATCTGTGCTTGGGTACGGTTCGTTTAAAAAAAAACTGTCCCCTCATCAATAAAAATTAGTCAGAACTAAACATTCATTCATCTATTTTGGAGCTTGTTAGCAAATGTTAGCCAGTTCGCTCCGACGTGATTTCATAAATGTATTTCAAAAACGCACTTTTGAGTGCTTTTCTGTTGTTTTAAATGTGCTCTCTCGTTTTAACAAAGCACTTTCGTCCATTACTGTTCAACGTGTTTAAAATTTTTTTTTGATCCCTTAAGATTTTATCTTTTACTTTGTTCGTTATTTGAACATGTTGTGACCACATTTAATCGAATCATTTAGTTTTTTGTACGATCACTATTTTCTTTATGTGTTCGAAAGTACGCGAGTGCACCACACAGTCGCTTAAAATGTCCTCAACGTACACGCGAATGACCTTCAATTTAGTACGTTTTTCTTTTTAGAGGCAACCGTTAAAACAAGTCTTTAAATTATCACGCCGGTCATAAATGTATGTATTTACGGGTTGTGTACACAAAGTGCCTCAGGCCCTCGTTGCGGATTTTAATTTCCAACTAAAGACAAAACAAGGGGTTGGCACGGGTCTCTTGCACACGAAATAATTCAAGAGAAAAATGCGTGTCTAGACCAGATAATGATTTCAAAAATGAAAGTCAAGCATATTGTGCAGCGTTAATGCGGAGGAAAAGCACCGGTGACAAATGTTGATGATGTTATTTCCCGACTCGTCACATGATGAATTGGCAACATTTGCGTGAGGAAGCGAACCTGCTCTAATCAAAGCAAAAACATCCCACTTTTCTCTATCAATAACAATTCAAAAAAATATATTCAGAAATTTATAGATGTATATATATGTAAAACAAAAACATATGGGATAAAAAAAAAGAAAGACGTGACAGCTTGGCTCGTCTCTGTCTGATGAGCATCATTTCAGTCGTTCTAATTTTATGCAAATGGAAATCGAATTGGCCATACCGTCATAATAAGAACAATAACAGTCATGATGATTATGGTTATTATGATGATTATGATAGTGATGCTGATGGTTATTTCAGACTGGGGAGGCCCCTTTCGCTTGGCTTTAAGGTTTTCTATTCCATTGTTTGTGCATTTTACTTTGGACTTCGATTATGTGAACCTCTTGGTTTATATGTTTACACTCACACTTATTATTTATTGCTCGACAACAGTCAAAGCAATAACAATATATTTGGATAAGAATACAAACATGAAAGCATACATTAATCATTTATATGTATATTGAGTCACGTGGTGTTTATTTTATTCGACCCCCCCACCCCCGGAAAAAAAAAAAAAGAAACAAACAAAAATATTTGGGCAAGAGTTGAGGAGCATATTAAACACCTTTATAGGATTTGAAAAAAAAATCTATTTTAATCAAACAAGAATATCTCTTTCATTATTATTATTCTCGTGATTACAAATATTACAGCAACCTATCCATACATGCAACATTTAAAATGCACTTGCTGATGTTTACATTTCGTCATTGGATTTTACGTTTTGGTCCCGTTCTTTACGTGGCGCTTTAAAAAAAAGTGTCTTTTCTTATAGTGATTCTCTTACAGATTAGAAAACGAATTTTGCATATTTATATCGATCACAAATGCGTCCCCGGAAGAAAATGAAGAGACAAAAAATAAAATACTGAAACTTCGTTGTTGACCATTTTTTTGTTTCTGTTCTGCTGTGTTTATTCTAAACGGCAATATTGCAAAGTCAGAGTTATGTTTGTCACTATTTTATATAATTCAACAAAAAAAAATATTTATTTGATTTAGGGAACCTGATTATTTTTGTAGCGCTCCTTTAAATGCATTCGCGTGCCACGAACTATTTTGTCACACTAAACATTTTTTTTTCACCCAAGACGGAATGATATCAAGCTGTTATTGATGACGATGACGACGGCGGTGCGGTACCTGCACTCTGGACTCGGTCAGGCCGATTCTTAGGGCCAGCTCCTCCCGCATGAAGATGTCCGGGTAGTGCGTCTTGGCGAAGCTCCTCTCCAGCTCGTTGAGCTGTGCCGGCGTGAAGCGGGTCCGGTGCCGCTTCTGTTTCTGCGCCTGCTGCTGCTGGTTCTGATTCGAATTCTGCTGCTGTTGACCCCCGTGGCCGCCACCGTTTTGCTGCTTATCCTGCTCCTTGATCACCTGGACCGCGTTGGAGCCTCCCCGGTCTCCTCCTGTCGGCCCAGAGGCGGTGACGTCATCGGCGGCGGTGGCGGCGAGCATGGTGGCGCCGTCCACGCCATCCGGGCCCGGACCGAGCTCTGCGGAGTGTCCCGGGTCCGATCCACCTCCGGCCAGTCTGCACTTTAAAGCCTCGCGGTGGCCCAGCAGCTCGGCCGCATCTTTCATCCCTGCGCGCGTGCAACAAAACATCTCTTCATATGACGTAGCCTAACCGTGAAATTGAACAGCATTTTTTTCACCCTTTAGGTCAATTTGAGCCGAAGCAATTGACATCTATAGAAAATCAATATATCAGTTGTCACCCAAGTTTTCAGATCCTAATGTTCGTTGGTTGACTATACTGAATGAACAAATAGTAATTAAAAAAAAGTTACAGTAACCAATCAAAACAATCCGAAGAAATGCGAGTCAAAATTCTGTCAGGCAAAACACACATTTTTCTTCCAATTAAAACCTAATGGATCGCAGAAACATGAAAGAAAACCTCGAGAAAAAACACGAAATAGTCCCCGTTCATTCAAGTCATATTTGCACAACGAAAATTGTCAATATTTTATCAATTCTGCCTGGGTATGAAAACTTATGAGCACAACTTATGATAACAACAATGAACTAAGCATGACACGTTATAAAGTTGTATCATTACATTCTTTTTGTTTACCCGGTTGTCTCAATTAAATTGGGGGAAATCATGAAACGAAAAAAAAATTCTAATGTTAACCGCATATTTATAAAATTGACCTGTGGAAATATGAGGAGAAAGCACTTCATAAGCTGCCTTTGAAATACTCGCCAGGCACTCTCCATTCGACCATTGTTAAATCAAATTACGCAGTTAATATAATAATAATTGCTTTTCCAATGAATTAGCGCGGCGAATCACACGAAGACAGTGTGCATTGACCGTGATATTCGTGCGAGTGTGTGTCTGAGTGTGTGTATGTGTGCGTGTGTGTGGAGCTTACAGCAGAGTTGAAGCGCCGAGTTGGGCGACGACAACTCACCCAGGCGAGCATCCAGGAGGTCGGCGTGAGAGAGCATCGCCTGCCGGCCCCCCTCCCCAAAAAAAGGCGAGGAAAAAAACGTGTATGACTATTTAGGAAATCTCGCTGTCCTTAAATGAAAGCAAATTCGCTTTGCGCTTAAGACGTCCAACTTGCATTATAATGCACCTTGGAAGGACGGGGAGGTGCCTAACGGGCGAGTGCAGGCTCAGGCGCCCGACCGCGACGACCAATCAGAGGGGGAGGAACCCCGGCGAAGAGGCTCCGTCTCCCCCCGCCACAGGAACACGTACACACCATAAAACACTTTCTCTCCCATCCATCCAGCATTTGATTCCCCTTAATTGGCTTTGATTTGTGCCCCAAATTAAAGCCCAACAAGGTCTTCAACTGATGCTCACGGCTTCTATAAGAACAAGTAGCACTAAGCTAAACGCCCCGGTTGGGTTAGCACAAATCGTGGGAATCACTTTTATGAGGGTTATTTTGTGATTAATTTTTTTTAAAGGAAAGACTGGAGGCCCATTTGGGTTTCAAAAACACTCTGTGTCATTTTTCATCGAATTCAGAATCATTCCATTATTAATAAACAGAAAATATCACTGAAGGTGCATGTTAGCAAATATTAGCTCCAGTATGGTAACACTAAGTTTTGTTAGCTATTAAATAAAGCCTCGACACCCCAAACTAAATCATATACAACATTTATAATGAAAGATCAAATAAAATTACCACGCATATTATGGCTTTGATGTTTTTGGAGCAGTGAAGATTAGCTCTTTGATATAGCAAATTAATTAAATTCGTTCACCTCATACAAGTACAGAGGAGATAATAGGATATCGGAAAAAAATCAGGAAAGTGTAGCAAAATACAACTTGGAAAAATAATTAAAAAAATCAAATAATGGTAAAAACAATACAAGAAACATTGACAGAAAAAAATGTATTTAGCTGTTTTTTTATGGACATTAATGCATTTGACATGCAAAACAAAAAAATCTGAATTTATATCTGTTTTTAGAAATGTATTAATTGTATTTAACTTCAACGGAATTCTTATATTTAAGGTGTGGATAAAAATTATGGTTCATTTTAGTGCTTCAAATTTGTTTGTACTGTGACGAAGAGTCCAGACACAACTTAAGGTAAACCTGCCAAGAGTAATGTAATGTAAAGCTTAATACTGCACATTTAATCCATATCTTAATATTTATTTATTAATTTAATTCATTTTAAGGCTTCTCTTTATACTTTTTTTTTTTTTTTACAGAAAGGGTTGTTTTCCTCAGATTAACATTTTGCCAAATACTGATAATGATGTGGGACTTGGATCAACACGCGTTTTTTTTTTCAATCCATGATTGAGGCACCGTCATTATCTTCAGCTCACTCATCAAGGTTGAAAAGAAACAACTGCGATAAGGAAAAACAAAAAAGTTTAGTCCAACAGTGGTCAAAGTTCAAGCATTTGTCAAATCAATATTTTATGGAAGATGGTAAATAAAAGGCGGCATGGCGGTCAACTGGTTCGCACGCCCGCCTCACAGTGGAGAGGTGCAGGGTTCGATTTCGGCTCCGGCCTTCCTGTGTGGAGTTTGCATGTTCTCCCCATGCCCGCGTGGGTTTTCTCCGGGTACTCCGGTTTCCTCCCAGATAATACATTTATACTCACAGGCATAGTCTTTATCTTCTGCAAAGAGCAACTAACCTGTAGCATTCTGCAGCTTAATAAGGACTTTTGACCAGCTCTGTTTTATACTGCCTCCAAGTGGCCAAGGCGCACACACCAGAATGAGCAGCACAATGTCCCTTGAAAACGAAACAAACAGTGGGACAAAAACAGTTTGTGTAGATTTGATTTATTTATGTCATATGACTGTGTGTAAAGTTGTTAACATGACCCCAGATGCGATTGTTGGCCACGTGGCATCGCTCAATTAGCACGGTGGCTCACCCAGCCGGCACCCCCGTAGCGGACTCCATTAAGGCCGTGAGTTATGTGAAAAGAACACAATTACAGCTCCGAATGTCATAATCAGCGCTGAAAAGCCATTCTCTCGTAAAGGGACGGATGCTGGGTGGGTGTCACGTAGCAGCTGCAACGGCGCGGGGTGCTGTTACCGAGTGCGAGCACTTCATTACAATGTTTTCTTATAGTAGCGGTGTGTTCTAAGTATTGTCATCGAAATAACCCAAAATGTGGAATTATAAGGATCTGGTCCAGGAGTGCCCAACCTTTTTTGAGCAAAGATCTACTTTTCAAGCAGCCAATCTGTTATCGCATATGCACGCAAGCCATATTAAGACCCTTACATGAATGAAACAGAAAAATAAACCAGAAACAAACAAGAAAGACTGCGTTTGTAAAAAGGAAATCACTGCCTACCTTAGTGGGAGACCTGACACAGGGAGGCAGGGATGCAGTTTTGTTGCTTTAATTGCAGAAACATCATTTCGTGTGACGCAGGTCATGCTGGGGAAGAGACCCAAACCATCCAGCACTGATGCTATGATGCTAAAAATATATTTCATACACAGAGTAGTGTCCAACTGCTAGCTCGTCCCATCGTTTTACAGTTTATATATTGTTTGACAAACAATTGGTAGCTTAATGCTAACAGATAATGCAGTGTTGCCGAAAAGACAGAAGACAGACGTGATTGTGTTCCAGTCAGTCTGCAGTGTATTTGTATGACATCATCATGACAACAAGACAATTTGACGGCAAAAAAAACAAAACAAAACAAAATAGTCGTATTGATTGGGGAAGTTTAAAAAGCGCCGGCATCAGAAAGAGCGGAGGTGAATGTGGTGGTGTCTCCACATGGGGAGGGGGGGGGGAAAAAAAAAGGAATGAACATTTGACACCAGCTCAGGGCAAGACATCACGCCTCCAACTTGATGGAGTCCAACAGGCTTTTGGCTTCCTGATACTCGGCCGACTCTGATAATTCCTCCTCCGCTTCCTGCAACGACGACAACAACCACAACAAAACACACTCAGGTGGCTTCTTTTTGCAACATTGCAACTGCTCTCATGTGACAAGAGTCGAGCCAATTAAAACCGCTGCTGCAGTGAAAAGACTGTAAGGGCGTAAAACAGACAAAGATGATCGTGAATATGTGGGGGCCGGGTTACGAGCTAAGAGATGACTTTTTTTTTTTTTTTTATGACAACTGACCAGCAACTGCGACAGGTCGCCGTGGGCGATGGTCATGCGCCGTCGGCTGTCCGGGATCATCATGATGGTCTCCTGCAAGCTCGCCATCTGAAAAATAGCAACAGCCCAATTAAAAGCAGCAAGAAGAAGCAAAGAAGGTCCCAAATGAAGCTGCGCGAACAGAGAGAAAAGCAGCCTGCGGATATTTTTGGATGTTCTGTTTGAATTTGTTGCTGCTCCGTATGTGTCCAAGGAGCAGTTAAAGGTTTATAATTAGCGTAACATCTATGTTGATTTCCTGTAGCCTCTATATGGCGCTTTGCATAAAATGTTAGCATTAAGCTAATGGAGTTTTGTTGGAATACATCCATGATATGTACAGTCAGGTTTGGTTGAATATTTTGGTGTTACAATGTTGAATACTCTTTTTACACTAAGCCTCTAATTTGAAGAACTGAGGAAGTCTTCATTTCGCCGAGGTGATTATCAGACGTTTTACGATCGCTGTTTTAATTACTACAACTTGGGTTTGCTGTACGTATTTTAGCCAACTTGGATTTTTTTCCCCGAGCAAGTCATTTTAAAAAGCGTTTCAAAGCACACGTGTGAAAGTAACAGCACACGACCCGTCAACTGCGGCGGCGGCGGCGACACGAGGCTAAGCGCTGGCGAGCCGTGCCGGAGAAAAGTCGCGGCGCCCTCTGGCTGCGGTGGAATGATCCCATCAGCGGTGGGATAAAAGATGACACTTAGCCACGTATTGATTCCACGAAAACAAAGAAGCTCTAATCCATTCTGCCTCAGACGCATCATCTCCAACCATCATCCATCTGGCCTCCCCGCCTCGCCATTAACGCCAGCCAAGCGTGCCGCTGCTCGGGGCCCCGACCGCCGCGCTATGAATGAACAAACAAACACGCGCATGCTTGGAATTTTAATGCTAGCGGTAAACATCGCCGCCATCTGCGGAATAAAAGACGGGGCAATTCGGACTACCACGACAACGACAACAACCAAAAATGGAGAAAAAGCGCACTTGAAGTCGTTACCGTGAACGAGCGAATCTTTTCAGAATCGATTATCCGACCGGTTATTCCATCGAGTAATCGGATGGATTTGGAGCCCCATAATTTCACGGCTGAAATTTGGCTGACATATTTTTGGGGTCGGCTGAATTGAAACTAACTAACATGTGATGTATTCTTAGGTGTAGTCTCAGTCTCAAACACCACATCGGATATTCAGAATACAGGCCCTGTCGCATACGTGTTGCTTGATGAGGAATGCGTCGGCTCCCGTCTCTTTCAGTTGGTCAATCTTCTCTTCCTGCTGCTTTGCCTCCGTCCGGTATGACGCCTCCTCTTTGGCCAGCCTGCAGACACAAAGGCATTCTTCAAGGACTATACATCGGCACCATGACTTTCGTGGACTCCAGGTTTCAAGTTTTACCTTTCACTTGGTCAATTGTTTGGGGGCAGGGGGGCTTTGTGGGGAAAAGTGCCTTTACAGGCTGAAAAATAGCATCGGTTTCCAGGCATTACAATTGAAGCAAAAAAAACTAATATTACTTTTGCTTAAGTACTGACCGTCGGTTTATCTTTATAACACTGCCCCCTAGTGGTCACAGCTTACACACCAGCCCAATGCCCAATGAAGTGAAGCAAAAATTTTGGCAAAAAGAAAAAATATGTTCAGCTTGTATTCTCCCGGAGACCCAAACGCTTGTGAGTCATTGCGCAAAGCCAGATATTTTTTATTTTTTTTGGTCACGGATGTTTAAAGTTGGAAAGGTGTGTTTAGGCAACCCCACACATTAATTGATCATCAATTTAGCCCCTAAATTAGAGCAAATCAGGTGGTAAATGGGGCCTCTTTTCCTTGGTTGTTAGTGAAAATGGAGTGGGAGCACATTGATCCATTTGGATTATTTCTCAATTAGCAGCCAAATGGAAGTAAATCTATTAAACACAATCCCAGCCCACTTGGCATAACACACGTTTGCCATTGATAGCTATTCACTTGGCTAATCATCGTCATCCCAATCCAAAGTGACGAGACAATTTTTTTTTTTTTTCAGGAGCGCGGCACAGTGAATGGGTGTTAATCAGCCACATTAGCCACAAGGTTTTGCTCACCGGCTAATGTCTCTCTGTCATTTATTTACATCAATTGCGCCTCGCCTAGGATGCCAAGAGTCGTATGCAAGTGGAGCGGAGTGTGCGCTCTCTCGCATGTTTGGTACACATACAACCCCCCCTCCCCCCGTGAAAAAAAAAAAGTGAATCATTTGAATAAAAGTGAAGGACAGTCTAATAAAATGTCCGCACCTCCCCTTTTTCCTAGCACTGATGTTAATTTCTTATTTCTCACAGAGTCGGAGCGCCGGGGGTCGCGGCGGCTTTTAAATAGACCTGCCACCTCCCGCTTGATGGAAAAGGCAGCTCGCTGGAAAATAGGAAAAAGGCGAAGAAGAAGGAAAAAAAAGGGGGAGTAGGGGGGATTAAAGCCAGGCCAATATTCCGCCACACTGTATTTTTGAGGCGGCGTGTAGCGGGCGACCAGGAGGACAATGACAAAGGCAAATTACTGTTGTCATTTTATTAAGAACATCCGCCACACCAGACTAGCCAGACAAAAAAAAAAAAAAAAAAAAAAAAAGATGGTGTGAGGAAATACACCTGAATACACACTTGGATAAAAGTGAAGACAGA